AATTTGAGATGAATATCATCATGTACACAAGATTATACATAAATGCAATGCTGCAGCTATTCTGCAGCAAGTATTACAATTCAAATACTTAATTATTGCTTTACTGAAATTCTCTGGAACACTGAAAAAACTTCACAAATAGTGGAAATGATTTAATGCTTAAAGTCACTTGTATCTTAGTTATTGTTTTGCATTACAATACTAATAAGTATTACATAAACGTATACGAAGGTATATATCGATGGAAGAATTTTTAGGCCATTTAAACTACTGCAGGAAGACAAAATAATTTTAAAACGCGCCGTATTAGCAAGTACATGTTTGCAAACTGCTCTGAAAGGCTGAGGAAACCCAGCAAATAGGTAGTGGAGCAGAACAAATGAGTTTACTACCGAATGCAACATTTCCTCCAATTCGAGAGGTAAATTATTTGGAGGTAATAACTTATAATATACGTCCATAGAATGTAAAGAAAAAATACAATTATATTTTGTGGCTTATGAATGTGAAGAATATTAATTGTACAGTATTTTTCTGAAATTATCGATGATTTTTCCATCTGTGAAGCGGCAACATTTTGTTAAACATTTTGTTAAAATATTTATGTTTTACAAATGCAGATAAGTAATTTACTTCTCTCAATGCAACTAATAATTTTTTTCTTCGATTTATTTTAGTGTACTCATGTCCTTATTTCTTAAACATTTCAAATTTTGAGGAGGTGATTGAAATAATTGATTATATTTATTTTTCATAAGTGTCAAATCATGTAAAAATATATTTAAAAATGCGTAAGATGTTTTCATTTCCCATCTGCGTTGTCTGTATTTCTGCCATAAATTACATCCTCTAGCAACATCTCCATCAAGACCATGAAAACAGCTAGAAACAGCCCATTAGCAGTATCCAATTTCCCGGTGCAACCTCTCGAAGAGAAACTCGACACCTTTCCTTGCAGAGCAACGTCGAAAGTGTAAAGAGAAGTAATTGGGTCGCCTTCGCTGCAAGCGACACCGCGCGCGCATTTGCATTCCCTTCGATTAATTGATCCGCGCCTGAGCTCGCGCTGAGCCCGAGGCCGCCGAGGGGCCCAAATCCGCGCACAGCGCAGGCGGCGCTGGCGGCGCAGGCGGACTTCTAACACAGGCACGAGCTCTATCTACAAGTCTGTTTCTTTACAAGATTTGCACTACGTCCCCTGGCCAGTGCATCCTGCACCCAGGCGCTTCACCGCGCCGTGACTCGTCACCCGCTGCCTCGCACTAGAGAGGTTAATGCCCACCCGCCTCCCGGGCGAGCAGTTGCCAGGCTCTCGCTTCTTCCTGCCTCCGCGCTCCTGTGCTTCGGTTGCACGTGATCGCCCCCAGCCTCCCTAATGCTAGCTAGGGTGACGGAGGCTTCAAGTTTGTTCTTCAAACTTTTTCGTTGGCTAGTGCTAATTGCCTTCTTACAAGATGATCAAACAAGGTGACACAGATTAATTTTTAGTGCATTCTTTTGTTTTTCCAAATATTACACAAATTTATTTTAATGAAATATCACTCAAGCCATCAATATGCACATTTCCAGAAATTTGAAAACACTATTGCATTTGTGACTTGAACGGCTTAAAATGACTTTATATCACGTTTTTCGAAAACTCAATAGTTTTCTGTGAAAAGAGGTTCAAATTTTGCATTCACAGTAACTTTTACACACCATTTTCTTAAAAACGGCTTCAATTTTTTAAATGAAAATCGCCATTTCGAAGAGAATCCCAACACCTCCCTTTCCAGAAAAACGTCGAAAGTGTAAAGACAACTAATTTGAGGAAATTGCCACCAAACAAGGTTTTACTGCTCTTTATTATTTTTAAAGTAATATTTCTGTTCTACTATTAGGAAACGGAAAACGTGAGAAAATTTCGTGGCGATAGATGGCAGTTTGCAATAAAATGTGGCAAGTTCGAATAGCTAGATCAGAACAAAGAAAAAAACTAATACGAGAAAGTCTGTGCCATTCTGTAGGACCACTAGTTCTCAGATCAACGTGCAAAACAGGTTGGATTTTTGTTAAATTCTCTAACTTTTCGAAAATTGCAAATGTGCAAAAGAAAATAGTTTTTACGGCGTTTTCCTACATCTACAATTTCGAAGATAGAGACTTGTACAAATATATTCTTCAAAATTAGATTTCTTTGTATAATATATAAGTGTAAATAATATGTACCCTTTTTTCTAATGGGTGGAATATTTTCGCGTGATTTAGCGCAAAATAATGACAACTCTAAAAACAAACTTTTGTTAAAAACGATTTAAATTTTTTTCTTTAAACTTTTTGAATGAGAGAACTAGATAAACTAAATAAAATGACAAACGTTATTTAGATGTAATCTTTTAATTTTTTAAAAATTACAAAAATGTATGTTCAAGTAAATATAGAATTACGTAACCGGTACCGAAAATGCGAGAACTTAAGTATTGTTCTAGCACCACTAGTAATAATATCAAAAAGAGTAACTTCCTTAAGCTATTGTTTTTAATGTTGCTTCTCTATTGTTTGTCTGCAATGTGCGACCAATTTATTCCGCTAACTCTTAGAAGTAGACACGCTATTGTATTTTTAATTTCTTTCTCTTGTCCAGTTTCTTTTTATTTTCCGTAATTTCTATAGAATATAATCTTTGAGTTTATTGGGAACAAGGCCTTTTGTTGGACACTTTTACCAACCTTTAAATATCTCTGTGCATTCTGGTCTGCCTAGGTTTAACTTTTGAAATGTTAAATTATTGCATGAAATAAGGGCTAGTTGTTTCCTTTTAAATGCAAAATAATTCGAGACACGCCAATGTGACTGAAGGAGGTAGGAGAGCCTGCTAGGAAGAGACAGAGCACAGTCTCCTGCTACTGGAGAAGCGATGGAGGCGCGTAGGGGTGAGAAGGAACTTGGGGTGGAGGGGGAGGGGGAGGGGGCGGCTGCGCTCTCAGCGCTTGGCGCTGGGCGCGAGAGGAGAGGAGAGAGGAGATTACGCAGAAGCCAGGAGCACACGCGCCGCCTCACTTAAAGGAGACGTGTCAAATTTATAGCCGACAATGCTGTTCGATCTACAAAGACCGAGAGCTGTGAAAATGACTGCCTTTAAAACATTCTTATTTATTTACTTATTTAATTTTGACAACCCTGGGTGATATAGATTATATTAGAGTATAATTTGGATTTAGAAATATTTTTACATAGTATATACTTTATGTTATGTTGGCTACTCGTTATTACATTTTATACTCACTTCTACTTTTTTGTACCACCAATATTGACACGAACTGTTTTTTTTCACATCTAGAATAAAGAGTCATTTGCCTAATTGAATGGCTGTGTGGAAAAACAGTACTAGTTCAGACAAACAACTGTTGAGATATAAACATTTTAGAAATGTAGTACCAAGCCATACGAATATCTTCTGAGGAATAATAACGATAGAAACTTTATTAAATTTTTTTTGTATGTCAACGAGGATTTGACTACCATATTACTCTCAAAATAACAATGTTCCACAAAATACCACATTTTATTTTTGTAAAAGTACACATAAGTGATATAACTTGGGCTCGTTCTTATTTGAAGTGGAAACTTTAAGTAGAAATCATACATTATAACCTTTTCCTTTCCAAGATATTTTTTGTGAACATGCTCTGTTTTGACGTTGAATTCACTGGACATTAACTTCACAGAATCTGATGAATGGTGAGCAATTTTCGTTGAAAAGAATGCTTTGTGTTCTTTTATCTTAACAAGACTTTCGTTCCTGATAGCTCCAGGTCTATTATTGTGCTTTCCTCTTGCATGTTTTGGAGACAGACCTGACAAAAGAATTAATGTCAGTCGTTGAAACTCAATATATGATATACCATTTAAGCTCGTGAATGCTTGTTTACAACCTTGACTGTAAAGATATTATTTCAAAGACAAATAACGGTTATTACTGACTCTTCCCTTACTGTTACTCTCACCTCTCGCTTTTCGGCCCATTTCGGTCACTCTCTCGAACAGTATCAAAACAAGTAAATAACAACAGACCCGTTCTACTCGCAAATAACAAATGTGAACTACCCGCAGCGAACAGCCCGAATCCCCGGACTCTGAAACCCAGAGTGGAAACTGGAGTAAATGTCCAGGACAGATACTGTTCTTTCACTAATCAAAGAAAAGGAGCTGTCTTATTTGAAGTCAGATACCTCATATTGAACTATTTTCAGTCTGAACATTTAGTCCCATATCTTCTGCACTAATTTCTGTAAAAGAAACAAACAAACAATTTTGAACTAGAGTTGTTTTTCTACTCATCCATTCAATTGTTTTTCCAGTAGTTCAGAATTATCATTGTTTATATCGTTTATCGTCATTTACTTCCATTGCCATCATTTACATCAATGTACAAATCAAATAATCAATCAATACACTTGTAATCATCTGAGGAGAAAACATTCCAAACGTGACAGGCTCACTTCACTCCTCCGTCGAGAAAAACGAAAAAATATTATAGCATTAGAATTATGCAAATATTTTATTCGTACTCAATTCTTAATTATTTAATAATAATTGGTAAATATATTATTGATATAAAACTAAACATTTTGTTTGGTTCAATTTTACTGCAAGTTTTGTGTCAGCCATGTCTCGTTTTGAATGAACACGAAGGGTCTGTCATGCTTTGATTGAATGTCAGGTACACTTGCCCTGATTTGAATGGAAAATAAATCTTTTTTATTAAAATTCATGAAATTATAATGGGAAAATTAACATTAATTCTCTTGCGTCTTTTGCAAGCATATCTTTGAATTCTGTAATTACTGCAAATTTTATTACAAATAAGAATATTATTTATTATTAAGGTAAGGCCAACTTATACAATTATACACAAATCCATTGACACATTTGATGAAAAATGAGCACGCTCATTTTTCTCATTTTATAAAAAAAACAATTATTTTTGACACATTTAAAAGAATGTCTTGCTTCCTTACCTTAAGGTTTAAATACTTTACGTTTCGTAATATTTTTTCTTCCGTTTTCTCGAACGCTCGGAAATGTCGCCAAAAACACCTTTATTTCCTCGACTCAGAACTACTCGATGTGGGACGCTATTTTCCTCTAACTGAACAGTAAATAGCGATATTGAATCAAAATGTTTCACAAACACAAAAACAACACTTCTTTCTATTTTGTGATCATCTGCTGAGTTTTTGTCAAAAATACGTAGTAGAGGTGGAAATTTCAGATAATTGAAACGTTTTAAAGATTGCAATTGAGGATTAGAAAAAAAATCCTGGAAAAGGCGCGCATTGTTTCTCTCGAGTGGCTGGGGAAAATCCGAAGACCCAAGAACCATAAACCCATCAGGTCGCTAGGCAGGAATTCTAAGCCAATACTCTCTGAAACCAAAGGTTTGTAAATGTCTTTCTTTTTATACCACAATTTTAATAATAGAAATCAACTGTACGAACCTTTTCCTCTAAATGAACGGTAAATGACTATTTGCTACTAACACGGGAAATAACAATAAAATCATAAAGAAAGGGATTGTGGGCTAGTCACGTGTTGAATGAAATAGAAGTAAGACATCCGCAGTAGCGAAGGAGCGTGTCACGTTATGAATGAAATGCTAGGCAATTAATGTACAAATTTCAAAGTAAATATGGCCTGGTTTGTATGAAATAAGTAGTTTCAAACCAAATTTATTAGGAAACGCTGCGTTTTGCGTGAAAATGAAGGTCTGGGAATTTAAGGCTCATCAAAATAATATTAATACACATCATGGTATATCAACAATTTTGGATCAAAGATGGACGCGTCACGTTTTGAATGTTTGCCCCTCCTCTTTACTTAAAAAATGATTCAGATAAGTTCATCGAAACGTCAACAATAGTATAACGAGGAGATAAATAGAATTGAAAATAAATTGTGTAGCGTCTCGAATGCCCTGGAAAGGAGACGCCATTTGATGCCAACCATTTGTTGAAAATAAACAAAAAGAATGATGATTACCTCGAAACCTAAAACACCTAAAAACATATATATGTGTATATATACGAAACATTAAAAATATAAATTAATGCGATACCAGCAATATGAATTAATCTATAACATGAATTTTGAATAAACGTAAAAATTGAGGGAAATCTGAGCAGTCTTTACCCATGTGAGAGTTATTAATGATTGTGTTAGTAATTCAGAATTATTGGAGATATAGGAAAGCTACGAGTTTTGTCTGGAAAATGCATATATTTTATGACGTTAATTCGCACTTTCTAACACCTAATGTTAGGATTAGGTTCTGCTTCGCAATGAGTCACAACACTGCAGTGCTTACGACACAACTGACGTCATATGACGAGGAAGAAAGAAGCTTTCGAACTCACGTGTGTGGATTCAGAACAGTCAACATTTGCTGCTTGGGGCTCCATTTTCCACACGCTCCGAGGCAGAATTTTTGGCAGCGGCAGGCACTAGAAAATAAATAAATGCGCGAAGAGAAATTGAATACGCAGAACGGGCAGTAGGACCGCCGTCGTCGTTTTAGAGTTAAGGGGCCTCAATGTGTTCGGAATAGAACCCGTACCTTTCAACTGCATCGCGATGAACATCAACATTTACGACTACAATCCTTCGAGGCCAACTTACAGACGCGAATTGGTAGTTTTCCCTAGAACGAAGAATTGACATGTCAAGGTAAACGACAGCCTTTGCTATGTAGCAAACTCAGAATTAATTTTATGAATACCCTTTTTGCAAATTAGGAAAATTGTATTTTTTCAATTTACTTGATTTGGATTTCTTTATTTGAACATTTCAAACTGCAGAACCCATGGTTGAAACAACAACATAAGAATTGTCACCTAAAAAGAACACTTTAAAACTTAATTTTTCTGAAAACGGAATATTTAGTAATATTAGGTAAAGTATGCGCATTCAAGAATACTTATATCTCTTCATAATTTTTATTTATTAATGAAACTAACAAGAATAAACATGTAAAAATAAATAATTTCTCATCTTTAATTTTTGCGAATTCTTGGTGTTGATTTCAAAAAACAATGAGATTTTTCTTTAAATTTTCTTCGAAAATTAACATTGCTTTAAAAACTGCTACTTACAACTGTTTTTATCTCATATATAATTTATTAATTAGAGAAACTCGCCTTCTCCAGAAATATTAGTGCCGGGTAGGCATATGATTTATTCACTGATATTATTATACGAAAGTTTGTAAAGTGTAACACATAACAGTTACACATAACATCAACACACTCAGCCATTTTCAATTTTTGAATTTTTGGGCCTCTTTACTTTCTCTTAAATAATTGAATAGGTTGAATAGGTAATGCTAAAAAGACGATGTTGACATTATGACGAAAATACACGTTTTGGGGATATCTAAAACGGGATAAATGTTTACTTTCATAACATATTTCTCTCCCTCCGTTCGTTCGTTCGTTTGTTCGTTCGTTCGTCCGTCCGTCTGGCTATTTGAAAACAGCGTCTAAATACTAACGATCTGACTTGCAGCATTTTTTTGATTGGAAATAGATATTTTAAGTTTTGGGTATACATGAACAACCCATTAAAAATTAAAAAAATAATCCCAGAATATCTCCATTTTTGTTCTCGAATAAAAAAACATACGCTTATAAAACTGTCAATGACCCTATTTTAATTAAAACCTCAGAAATTTTCAAAATTTGCAGACATTAAAAATGTGTTAAACCTCCTCCTGTAATCACATTATTGAATATGCAGAATTTTTGTAAATTAAATCTTGTTCTTCAAATAATCAGTCATGTACAAGGTTTTGAAAATATGGGTTCACGCGTAATTTTTAGTGTAATAGTGTTAATCAAAACTATGTAAACAAGATATATCTTAAAAATAGGTACAGTTGCATTTCCAATAATGTCAGGATATGGTATGTTATTAAAACCAGTGAATGTGTTGGGCGATCGTTTCTGTGAATGTTTTCAATTCATCTGTGCACTTTTGCTTTGTGTTGTGAATGTACTAGTCAACAGATTGCACTGTCAGGCCTGCGTCCGTTTATCTGCAAGTTTCAAATGGCGTAGTTCAAGACAATCACTGAACTTTGACGTCTTCACAGGGAAATATTCTCAGAACCGGCGTGTGCGTTCAGTCAATGATAATGTAACCACCGATTATACGAGACGAACTGAGTTGCGGTTGAGAAACATTTGTCTAATTTCATTTCAATATACGATGCTACAATAATTCTATGGCTATTTGATTCTTTGTGCCTATTTGATTAAGTATATTGCGATTAAATTGAGAATGGATATATCTTCAGAAATTTACGTCGTAGAAAAAATATAAGTTAATATTATATAAGATAATTTAATATTTTCGAGTAAAAACCCTGCAGTTCCAATGGTGTGGTGGATTAATATTGCAATTTAAAGTTAAAATTTAATTTTTGTTGTAGATTTGGATTTTGTGGAAAAAACACTAGCAACATATGCTCGAAATAATTTACCAATAGAGATAATTGACGTTGTAAACTAATAAAAAGTAAATATTCTGATTTTTTTTTGCCGTTCATTAACTCTACATGGTGTAGAAGAAAAGTATTAACACTTCTTCAAAATGTGAAGGTCGGGATTCTTAGACAATAGGAAGAGGAGTAAAGCTGCTTGCCAGGTTTGTATTACCGCCACACACACACACTGCCTTGTCCATACCTTTCAGGGACACAAAACATACAACTAATCAGTTTTACCTAACTTATGGATGCGATGATAAGCATTTCTGCCCGCCTCCTATCCTCAGAACGCAGCCTTCTCAGGTTTGTAGGATCTACGAGAATTCAGTAGATGGGGAAATAGTATATGCCACATGGAGATACGAGGCGGATTGTTAATGGCAGAAATGTATACTCTCATAATTAAAATAAAACATGTTGAATCAATCAATTCCAACATAAGTGATCTAAATAATTTTTGTTTCAGATAACCATGGTATCTTCAATTCCCTTCATAATGCATAAAAGCTAAAACTAGCGGTGCTACAACAGCACGCATTTTTCACCCAGTATTTTCACGCAAAATTACTCGAAATTCTCATATTTTCTAAAAATCTTACATGATCTTATTTCAAAAAGTATCTTTAAGGAACAGACTTCATTAAGGAAAAATATCTCAATCTCAAATATGTAAGTTGTTGGCGGACTACGAAAAACTTTTGCACTTTCTGAAAAATCAGGGTTGTTAAAGAACATGAGAAATGCAGCATTCTCTTAAACGTCTTTCACACATCCAACAATATACAACATGAATACCACGATGGAGCCATTTTTTTGAAAATGTCCCAGGACATTCATCCCAAAATAAAATGTAAATCAGACAGATAGATTCAGGAATATGACTTTTGGGGAAAACCGGCTGAACGGGTTAGCCGCTAGCGTTGTGCAGAGACGTACGGACAGACGTATTGTTGTCATACGATTTTTCGCTATCAAGGGCCCATAAAACATGCATTATGGCAACAGCACGGGTCAGAGAATTTTTTCTAAAATTAGCAACTGGATTTAACAACTTTTTCATTACCAGGGCCCTGTAATAAGAGTCGTTTTCCTCTGGGCGTCGGGAAAGTTAGATAAAAACAGAATGAATTTGGATATTTATTGACGGTTTCATACCTCAATATTTAGAGTAAAATCTAAATGCAAAAACTTGATTGATTCTTCCAGAAATTTCAGAAATATTTGTTGCAGAAGAAATATTTTGATTTCAATTATTAATATAAATCGTGAAAATATTATCAAAGGCTTTTATTTTAAAAAGTACAAAGCATAAATATATTAAAAAACTTTTAAATGGTGTTTTACATAGATGAGTGGGGTATTTGGAAACTTAAATTTTTTGGTCAAAATAATTGTACAAATGGACTTTATTTGGCTCTTTTACTATCATATACGGATAGAAAATTTTTAAGAGTTAAAAATGCTTGAAAAACTAATGAAATTCGTATGTTTGTTTACTGGTAAATTAATATTAAACAGTTCGTATAATTAAGAAAGTGACCCTGTCCAGTACCAACGCGTTTGTTGCAACCAAAATCGCAGCTTCCCCTCACTGGGAGCTGGTCGTCGGGTGCGCGATACCGCCAAGAAGGTACTACTTAGAGTAGTTTTTAAATTAGCTCCATTTGTGAATGAGAGCAGGAGTGACCCGCGTCGCCGTATGGGTTTGCACGTCGCAATGCGCTACCCACCGCAGCAGAAACTCTGCGGTACTACTATTTTTCTCTCATAAAGTAATTATCGTTGCCGGTAATTTTTTTATTTAATTTGTTGAATGTGTATTTCTTTGTTTTTTTCTTATCCAGATCCTTCTACTGAATGATCACGTAGTGGATAATGGTTCTCACATCGTTATTTGCCACAAATATGTGTGTTATCGTGTGTGTATATAACATGCACTGGTGTATATATTTATACCACTTGAATGAAAGGTCACTTTTCTTAAACTGGTTATACAATACCGAAAAATAAACTCTACGAAGGCATATCAAAAAGGGACCTACGAAAAAAAGGTTCACCCTTTGGTTCTAGACATTTGCATAATCGAAGCTCAGAATAATAATAATGGCAGATCCCAACCGACCTCGCATTTTGATCTAGAAGTGTGACAATAAATTCTGCCATATACATATCGTATGCTCAAATATCAAATGAATTAGGATAAGACAAAACGCTCCAGTTACATCTTCAAAAATTATTTCGGAGTGAAAGTGAACGGGAACAAACAAAAAAAGAAAACGTCATTTTTCTTGAAACGAACTTCGGTTGAGATCTACTGTTATTATTCCGAGAGCCTCAATTATTTATAAAGAGTTGTAATCACTCCATGTTTCACGTTATCTTTTTTATATATCGTCTGTACTACTAGCCAGTTATTGTGGTCCTTCAGCTTGAAGTTCGGAGGGTCTGGTCAAAGGGCAATCAAAAGGATGCAAACCAGCCGGACGCGACTTGTTAATGTTGCATGGGCGATATCGAGAATGTTCGGAGGCAACCTGGTGACACATTTATGCAAAATCCCCTTTAAGCTTCACACATTTTAACTCACACAAACCAAAACAAAAAGTGATCCACATTAACTATGAACTGCAATATTATACCATATATCTGGCACATCTGAAATTTTAATCAGAAATAGAGATCATATTGGTAGAAGATGCCTAATAATTAGATTAAAACTAACCGTGTTTCCCAGGTTTTCCAGTTCTAACGGTAAGGGTAGAGATTTATTATTGTAGAACCGAAATAATACCATTGTTTTGCAGATTTTCATTCAATATACCCTCTGGCGTATCATTTCCTAGTATTTATCTTGAAACAACATATTACGTCATCTTTTGTATATAATTTGGATTTCTGATACATTTTGAATGTTTAACTATAGATTACCAAGGCGGCGTTTGTCAGACGACACAACTAGTGCCGAAAGCTTCCCCCTCCACCTTACTCTCTCTCCCCATTTTGGAAGCTGTATCATCTCTGTGTGACAACACACGTAACGTTGTGTGCGCGCCTATTTCCGACGTACGCCATTTTAACAGAGGTTGTCGAGACTGCGCTTTTGTAGTCACGTCAGTAATATTTTTTGGCGCTATATGGGCTAATATTGTAAATAATGACTACAAACCCCTTTTCT